TACCATGTAACACATAGGTACAGAGGAACATGTACCAGGGAACATAAATACTAGGTAACATAAGTACCATGTAACACATAGGTACAGAGGAACATGTACCAGGGAACATAAATACTAGGTAACATAAGTACCATGTAACACAGGTACCAAAGTACATAGTATGAACATAGTAAACAGTCCTCTGATTGAATGTGAACAAGATGCAGGAACAAGTCTCAGCTCAATGCTGTTGGCAAGAAAACAAGACAACCAACATAAACAAACCAGGAAGATGCTCCAACCAAACATGATAACAGATGATTGAGTGCTTCAATGAAAACCTTTGTGAAAACAGCACGAATCAGTCAAGTTAACAAGGAAAACCACTGTTGTTAACAAACAGGGCGCCAACAGAAGTCGTGCTCTGCCAGGAAACAGACGAGATAGATGGACATYGAGGTGGAAAACAGAGGAGGATGGCTCGCTGTGGCGACCCTTGAAGAAGGAACAAATGATTTTATTTCTTCAACATCTGCAGAATAGTCTCCTGTGATTATATTGCAAGCGAAGCCACAACCTCCAACACCCTTCTGCCATAACAACCCATACCCTGAAAAAAAAAAAACAGCTTTCATTACTGCAGACAAGCACGCAGCTCAGGATCTCCCTAATGACTGGCCTCACGGCAGCAGTCAGCCAAGGCCGAGCAGAGGATGAAATCCTGTTACAGCTGGCTTTTCATGACGCCTCTAACTGCATTACACACCCCTCTCAAGTCTAGATCCAATTTCCCATCAAACACAGAAACACCGTAACCAGGCCGCTTGCTTCTAATGCTGTTTAAAAAAAGTCTTTGGCCTGCTTGTATCCAGTGACTCCAGTGGCTCTGGTAGATGGGAACAGGAACACAGTCAGACAGCACGCTGTAGGAGGAAGGGTGGGGGGGTCTCACTACTTTAGCTTATACTGTTAATAGACAGGGGTGGGCAGCTAACAAAAAGTTAGCTTTGCTAACTCATAATCCACTAAAACAATAGATTTGCCAATGCTAAACCATTAAATGTGTAAACCATTTAGCAGAAGCTAACGCTAAACTAAATGTGTAAAAAATGTATGATGCTAACACAAAAATATTATTATATATAAAAAAGTTAACAAATCAAATAAACACTTTTTGAAAGGGCATGATAACTGCTATGATGATATCTTTTTTGTAACTATAACTACACTATGACCTACCTGTTTATACCTGCGCTATTTAGCTGTTAGCGGACTTAAAGTTAGCTAAAACTAATTTAGCTAATAGGTCCACTAATGGTTTCCAAAATTAGGGAAAAAGCTAATCCGCGTAACTATACATTTATATATACACTCACTGGCCACTTTATTAGGTACACCTGTCCAACTGCTCGTTAACACTTAATTTCTAATCAGCCAATCACATGGCAGCAACTCAGTGCATTTAGGCATGTAGACATGGTCAAGACAATCTCCTGCAGTTCAAACCGAGCATCAGTATGGGGA